TGCGAAGTTCTACCACATTTCCAAAGCCTGCAGAAACACAAGGGAACAGACATTTTATCGAAACCCGCAGCGCCAGCTCTACACCCTCTGCTCGTTCCAGACATCTTGTAGTGTGGCACTATGTAAAAGCTTTTCCATGTAGTCCAAATCAGTGTTAGGAGAGTTTTTAACACAGTTTTCCATCTCAGTCCCTGCAGCTGGAATCACTACTTACTCATGAAGAACTCTTTCAGTTCACTCTCATCAATATCGTGTGGCAAGTTCCCAACAAAGAGCTGGTGGCTGTCTGGGTAACGAATTATCCGACGATTATCCGACTCGTTCTGCTCCATGTCTCCCCTTCCTACAGACAGCACAAAGAGGAAGGTAGAACCAGAGGTCAAAAGATGAGTGTCAATCTGGACAAGCACATCTGAGGGCAGCAACAAGCATATTCACACTCCAGCCGCCTTGGACTCCAAATCATCTTCCCTCATTTGTAGTTGAAGGCAGCAGGCACAGGCAGTTCATGATCAGGCAAACACGACACAGGTACAGCCAAGGCCTCAGCAGACACCTCTCCCTAACCCAAGCAGACACACAAGCTCATCCACGTTACCTGGCCGAGGTCCTCGTGGTGGGAAACCCGGTCTTTCCCTGGGACGCTGCTCACGAACGCGAGGAGGTTGAGACTGAGCTTCGGGTTTCGTTTCCACTCTTGGCTAAAAGAGGAGAACGTGCATTATTTAACACTGACCCGTAAAAAAACCCCAAACCCCCAACTAACCAGAACAAAAACCCCCACAACACAAGACATGGGTAAGTGGCATGCACAAAACAAACTCTGGAAGATAGATATTGAAGTCAATGTGTCTGGGAGTGGTTTTTTCACCTGTCTGAATTCCTCTGTACCAATCCAGGACTGCAGTGTTCATTTATCATTGTTAAGAGGTGCAAAGCAATCTCTCAATCAGAGCATCTCCCCAGAACACGCCTAAGGTGAATTTCCCATGTTTGACCAGGCACTGAGACCCCAATGTTCATTATTCACAAATCCCTCAGCCTGACTTAAATCGTAGAGGGCATAAAGCTTCCTCAAGCCAAGCTCAAACTTCATAGATTAGGAGGCAGTCCAAGATGAACACAAAGAGATGGGCAAATCCCACGTTCTGTCCAAGTCCCCGAGGAACTATTTTCCTGCAGTGCAGAACAACTATACAAAAACTAACAAAATCAAAGAGGAGGACAAAAGCCCTTGGAGGCGAAGTAAGTATTTCCTGGAATGAGTTTCTACAGACTACCTCTTTGGATACGCTTCAACTTTCCTCGTGTCAAGACCACGATGCTCGAAGTACACCCTTTGTATTCAGGTACTGGAACACCCATTCCAATTTTTTGCAAGCAAAAAATTTGCTTTATCAGAAACAGACAGAACAATAAAAATGTTTATATGTAGGCTGCTGGTCACTGAAGAAATTTCCAGTATTTCTCAAATTCCAATTTCTGTACAACAGTTAAGCAGCTGATGGTATGCTGGGTTCCTATCTTAGAGTAACAACATTATCCTCAGGAGCACAAAAAACCACAAGCAGCCTGCAAGTAGGATTAAACACAAGGTGAACAGCTATAGGCTCAGCCTGCTGGGGAGAAGTAGTTTTATTAAACATCTCCCTTACTCTCCTTTAAGGACTCAGGACAACTGTTGGTTCTGGACAGAGCACTCCCCAGGTAAAAAAGACTGGATTTTACACGCAACACGCAAGCGTTACACACCAAACCAACGCCTCGGCCCTCCTATCACTTGTGCTCCACACAGCTAGGCATCTGTCCCTACAGCACTTGTAGGATCACTTTCTCAGTTCCAGGAACAAGCTCAGAAAATCAGCCTTCCTGTTAAATCTTGTTCCATTGTATTTCCTGAGTCACTAGAGTGCCTCTGCCATCTTTCACTCACACATCGTGAGTGCATCAGAAATTACACCTCAAAAGCAAACCTGATACCTTCAGACCCCCATTTCTCAGATAAGCATGGCTATCAGGCTCAAACTCCCTCCTTCTGTCAGCCCCAGCCAAGACCTGCCAAGCCCCTGATGTCCTGCTGTCAAATTCCCACTAACAGTGACCTTGTAGCTGCTGGCTTTGTGTTTGGCTGAACTTCTCACTCCGCACACAAACAGCTGATCTCCCTGCTTGTTTTCTAAGGAGTACCATCCTTTTTTATATAGAAAAAGGCCGCCTCAGTACCCCAGGAGGAAAGCCCTCACACAGAACTGTGCTCCCCAAAACACTGCCACGACTGGTAGCACCACAAGACTCCAGATCAGGGATGCTGTTTACAGCCCAAACAGCAGCTCACTGCAGCTCATCTTCCAGCACGTCCCAGCAAGCACAGAGTGGATAGAAGGACACTGAGTAAGAAGTCCAAGAGACCCAAATTACCACAGAAGCCAAGTATACCGCAAGCCTCGGCCTGGTGTGACAACCATTAAGGAAAAGGTGGCATTGTCTCTTCTCTTCAGGAGCTCATATTGGGGAGGGAAAGGAACTCTCCCCAAAAGACAAGAATCAGGCCCTGCCTACCCCTGCTCCTCAGCAGCCCTATGACAAACAATGCAGTAATAAAAGTCAGAGGTAAAAATAACTGAAAACGCTATAAGGGAAAGTCCCAGTTTATCAATGTAGGCAGGTGGATTTCTAATCATCTCCAATTAGAAAAAGAGCAAGAAATGCTGACCTGTTTCACTCCACAGCTGTAAGGAAACAGCCCTGAACTGCTTTATATCCAGCCCAGTCCGTGTGCAGTCCTTTGAGGAGTTAACACTACAGGGACTGTATTTTTAGCCTGACAGAAGTGGGGAGGGGGCGGGGAACTGGAGTGATGCAGAGAAATGAATGAGCAGAGAAGTTACTTCTTTCTAACATCACTGACAGCAGCTGTAACAGCATCTCAAAGGAGCCACCCACCCACCCACCAGGGCATCTCCTGTCCTCCTTTACATGCACAGTGTCTGGCATAAATGGATCCATGAGAACAGGAAAAAGCTGGTACTGCTTTGCAGTTTCTTGTTCAGGTGCCTTTTCTACCAGATTTCTACACACCGTGTCTAAAATATTTTCAAGAAAAGGAGCTCAGAACTGACTAATTCTGGCTGCAGAAGAGCTAAGAGTTGAAACTCCTGCCATACCAGTATTGCTCAGAAACTTCCACACACCATTACTTAAAATATCAAGTCAAAGCAAAAGAAATCAAAAGGCATAAAGCATGACAAGCAACAGAGGCAACACGGAAGAGTTTAAGGGGACATCTATGAGCTGTCTCCTGCTCTTTTGGGCAAATGATTTGAAATGGTTTTTGCAGCCACATTATAACCATCCACCCTCTCAGTGCCAAATAAATTAAAACCAGTTTTGGTTTTGCATAAGGAAAATCTATCCTGCATTATAAAACCGTGTTTTTACAGGTTAAACACCACCTAAGTGCTGAAAGCCCTGTTTAAGCTGATGAAGACAGACTTCCCAACTCATTACACAGCCTTTATTTGATGTCCATGGTAGTCCCAGCAGACCAGAAGCAACACCACGTAAGTACCTTACCACATAAGGTACTGGGGATTGTTTGGTTAGTTTTCTTCCATTTTTCTCTTTTTCTTCCCTGTTTCTTTTTTAACATGCATTTGGCTGAAGGCTAGTCCTAGAGAGAGATCTCTGTTACCACAGAATTGAGAAGNTCCCGTGCCCGCGGCTCGCCCCGGCAGAGCCGAACAGCCCCTCCCGGCCCTGGACAGCCCCGCGTCCCTGCCGGGCCCTGCCCGCTCCCAGAACCGCACCTGCGGCAGCCCCCAGCGGCGGCGGCCGGGTTCGGTCCCTGAGCATTCCCGGGGAGAAGCGATCCCAGCTCGCCCCGTTCCCGAGCGGCCGCCGCTGGCAGAGAGGCCCTGTTGGGAGAGGGGGAGCCGGGTCCCATTGCACACGAGACTGTCCAGCAGCAACACATGGGTCTCACACTGCAGCCCCCTGGGATGAAGATGCTCATTTTTGCGGGTTGTTTTATTACGGAGGAACACGAACCGTGGTTGACACTCCTTTACATCCGGAGTCTTTTTTCTTTATTCATTCCCGTAAGCAGTTCGATGGAGTCACAGGGCTGCTGCAGTCACAGAGCGCCCCTCCTGTGCCCCCAGCACAGCAGTGCCTGCGTGCAGACTGCAGGGGCACATCAGCAGAGGCCGACAGGGCAGGGAAAATCCAAGTGCTCCTTCTGGGGGAAACAGCAGCAGCTCTCACCGCCCCTGCGATGCTCCACGAGAGGCTGTGGCAGAGCAGCCGCCGTGCTGTGAGCCTGCCCCGACAGGCTCGTGTTTCTTCTCCTTGCTGGGGGGAGCTGAGCCAGTGAGGGGACTCGGTCCTGGCCATGCCAACCATGACCCGCCCTGTCCCAGACCCACAAGCCCTCATGCGAGCTCCGGGCACAGCACCGCCGCTCCCTACCGGCTTCTGGCCGGGCAGTGCCCAGGAGATCACACACGGATCTGTGTCCTCGGCCCCTTTGGACAAACGTGGTGACGTTTCCCAGAGCAGCACTCAGGTAGCTGCACTTTGGGACTCGCTGGCTGCGAGGGCTGCAGAGCCCAGTGGGTTTCTGTGCGCAGGGAACTTGCAGATCCTTGGTGCCAGCTGTAGCACTTGTGCTTTAGCTACTGAATACTGACTGCAGGGTTAGGGACAGGCATGCAATGAAGCCTGCACTGCCACAAGGCAGCCAAGGGGAACATCCTGTCAGCAGCTGCAGAAGCTGCTCTCAGCTTTCATTCCTGCACACAGACACTGCTCCCACCCTTCTGAGGGAACAGCAAGAGCTGCAGCACCACTACCAAGGTGTCTCCTTTCAGCTCAGGCCCAGGAATACGAGGCAGAGCACAAACCAAAGGGACAATGACTTCCTAAGCTGCAAGCAGGCAAGCTTTAACCGGACACCAATGGTTTTCCCAAGGGTTATCAAACAGCCTGCTATCTTCTACCATGTCCAATAAATCATCCTTCCAAGCTGTATTTATCCACATGACATGCAGACCCCCAGCAATCGCTGTACTGTAAAAGCACCAGACTTTATAAAAGCACCGGAGCGTGGGCACTGCAAGGGGAAGGGGAAAGCCTCTGCAGCACCAAGCAGGCCGCTGCTTCCTGACAACCCTCAGCTGTCCTGGTATTTCCTCCTCTTGAACAATTCATGGCACAAGTAAAGCCAGGTCCTGGCTGACCTGGCTGTGGCATTTCAGGCAGCATTATCTCCTGCCCTGCCCCTCAGCCCCAGATAACATGAACCAGCACAATTTACCTCACAACCTGAGGCACCAAGGTCTGAAGGCTGCAGGCCCCCATCGGCAGCAGAGGGGATCGTGTTTCTCTGGAGACCTTTGGAGATGAGCAGATCTTGTAGCTGTGGAAGGTGCTCCTCTGAGAGGCGACTCTGGCTTTGGGACTTGTACAGACAGGATCCAGTTTTTTCATTCCAGTACTCCAACTCACACAACTCTATTACTTTTCAGTCACTTCCTAACTGCCTTTTATCAGGAAACATTACAGCCAAGACATGCCCTCAACAAGACACAGCCAACAGGAGCTTCCGAGATTCCATGATTTGGCCACGCCTTTTCTCTGAGCAGTGCAAGAATAACCCTTTCACCGACCCTTCTGGCTAACTGCCAACAAACACAAGAAGTAAAGAAACGGGAACTGGGGGGCAATCACTTGTGC